GTACGAGTTATACCGTTAGAGAAGTCATGGGATTTCATGTGTTTGAATCGACTGTGCCACCACCTCCGCTGCCAGACAATAAAGTGTGAGTACTGTTGCCTATTAAGAGTTCTTTACAAGACCTCTTTCCTACTTCATGTGAAAAAGTTTCAGAAGACGTGGTTATTACACACGAAGTGTCCTTTGTGATGCTGTGAAGCAGGTTATGCTTGGAGCAATGACGGTCACTCAGGCTTCTCGTCACTATAAAATCCCCCGTACGACCATCCAGAAACATTTTAGGTAAGCATAACCACTTCAGCGTGATTACAGAGCACGAAGTGTCCCATTTTTCATTTGTTGTAAGCGCAGTTCGACTAGAGGGGGGAGAGGGTGTTTTGCACTTTCCCGTTTTCGTGTTCATTGGTTTTTTAGAGTTGAGTGGTAATCATTACAAGAGTTTACAAGTAGTTTCTACAAACTTTGACTCTATCTTTCATGGCTTCACAAGATTCCACAAATCTCTACTTGCTGGCACTACAGTGGGAAGCGGCGAAAGTGCAAAATGCTCCCCCCCCCTCCTTAGCCGAACTGCGCGGGTTTCACGATTATTTTTTTTACATTGGTTTCCCAAAACGATCCATTTCATCTGAGTGTTTACAGTAAAGCCCGTGAGCAACACAACCTAAAGGAGATGTATATCCGACGGATGGAAGCTGCCGAGAAAGGATTATTGGGTAGAGTACCTGATAGCGATCTTCAAAGGCGACTTTCCGAGCACGGAACGGCATGTCTTTTATCACATGGAGTGGTAATTTTTGCTGTATTTATTGCGACATTTTGAAAAGCAAGTGGTCATGTCTTCGCGCTACTACGCTGACAGCTTGGTTCGAGTCCCGCGTCTCCCACTGGCCGAGCGAGTGCACTATCCATTATCCTTGGCGTAATGGAAAGCCCCGTTAGTGGGAGGTGCGGGTTCGAGTCCCGCTTGGGGCCTGACTTTTGTCCATAACTCAGCATTCTTGCGATAACCTGAATTAAGCGGAGCGCGGACCACGGCGTTAAACAGCAACTATCATAATAAAACAAATCCTGTCAGCATACTGAGATTGCGGTCCTGACGGTAAATTTCTGTTCTGAATATGCCCTAATCTACCGGATGAATAGAGTATCCCGACATTTCAGACCACAAACAAACGTTTTCCTTCGAGGTTTGTGAGACTTTCTTCTCGAGATGAGGAAGTCTTCCTTTTTTTGCCCGGAAAAACTGGTTTGCACACGAGCTCCCTTTCCCTTTGACAAGAACCATACCCGTGGTTCGCCATAGTCTCTCTTCACGTTCTAGCATTACATGCGCAACATAGAAATATTCGGCCAAATTACGTGCAAATGGAGATATGGAGCTGTTCGGCTTGAAGGGAGGCGAATCTGCCCATTTTCATGCAGTTCAATCTTACAGTGGTCCTCTTGTTATCTCATGTTAACTAATAGATCTTCCTTTAGTCATGTAAGCTGCTGTAAGGTTGCAAAATTTTTTTTCTGAGCTTCTTTGGTCGTAGCAGTTTACACCATCACATGGTGATAGATCAAGCATCGAGGAACAGGGTGGCCTGTGCAATTTTAGTTGAGTACGCGGATTCAGTGCCTGATTCGAATCCCAGGTGCGAGCACCACTGCTCCCGGCCAACCCAGGAGCCGTATTCTTGCCTTCCGAGGACTGGTAACCAGTTTGGGGTAGTACCAGATTCGTCTGGGAGGATAAAACACTGACTTGTACATCGGCTGGCCACCGCAAGTCATTGTATAGGCCACATCGCATTCAATAAGCCACTACGATTCTGAATGGAAGTAGAATGCGTGCCGCATCCCACAAAGGGATTGATCAACGGCGAAGACTTTATCCTTTTATCCTTTTACCATTCGGTGGCTCACCAAGCCGATCTGCTCCGAAGGCAGTGCCATTTCATAGTTTTACACGTGTGCAACTTCTAATACGACTCTCCTCCCCTACCCCCCCCCCCCTCCCACGTCGTAGACCAGACTTCTTTTTTACTCGTAGTTCTTCTAAAGTTCTTGTTTTATAGGAGATTTGGCCAAGTAGTTCCGAGGACTCATCGGCAACCGTTCACTGGCGGCAACAACCTGTGAAAATCGATCCGTCTCAAGAAGCCTTCTTTGTTCAAGATAATCATACATACACGTGCGAAAATGAGATAACTGTAGCGGAACAGTGCGAAGTAAGTCCAAGTATCCCTACACGACTGAAATTTGCAACACGTACAGAAGATTTCAGTAAGAAAAGCATTTGCAGGTTAGCAGTGGTGAAGGGAGACTTTATCAATCATCAGGTCCTATTTGTGAGCCAGAGGCAATGAGAAAGCCAAATCCAGGTAAAACAGTCAAGTTCTAGCTGGAGTTTTGGCGTAATTCGGCTGTTGCAGCTCAAAACGTCATTTTTTTGCATTTGGTCTAACTATTTTTCGCCTCTCTACTTTATTTATCGCTTCAGCTGCCGACGTCACAAGCTTCCAGAGTCGCTCCTCTAAAGCAGCCGTAAAGCCATTAACTCGTGTTGTGCTGAGAAGAGAAGGCAGTGAAGAAGTTGTAAAAGTGGTAAGCTATCAGAAGTGGTTTTAAGTAAAAGTAGGTCAAACTATAATTTTTATATTGAGTACTGAGTTTGGTAGTGAATTCAATCTTCTCTGCCTCACCTGACGAAATTGTGGATATGTTCGGAGTTGATTTCGCTAGAAATTTCTACCCCGATGTAGTTCGTTTCTTCAAACGCGAATATTCTGCGAGAGCACCTAGGCACCCGCCCGGAAGCGGCGGCGCCATAGAATCTAATTGCAGAAGTCGGCGCAGTCGCCTGGAATGGAATGCGTCTTCATCTTACCGCCGGTCCATATAACTTTGTTCGTTGCCCCTGAAGCCCGCGTTCATACACAGCGCGTTTCCGCGGCGCTCACGTGGTCTCCGTGCACCTCCCGCGGAATGTTTCCAAATTCGATACGCAATACTGTGCTTATTTCTAAAGAGATCTCGGCGCGGAGCCGCGCGAGCGCCACGGAGGCGGCTGCTGTGGATGGAAACTGCGCGTGCCTAAGAGGCGGCCCAGCGCCCAGTTCATTAACGTGTTTGGGCCTCACAACTGGTGCCTAGCTGGACCACAGTGCGAGTATGCCAGACGTATCATTGGCGCGATAGCGTCGGAGTCGTGGATGGAGTCTGTTTATTAAGGAAAGTAGAAGACCGGGCTGTGGAGCACGAAGGGGAACAATTTGTTGAGAATGGAGTAGCAGAGACTCAACTCATTATTATATTATGGGGCAGAGATGGATGAGTGGTTGCCGTAAGTTCTCTAGATGGGAAGCGATTATTTTGCTTCCTGAGCAGAATAGTCTGCATAAGTCAAATCTGGCCGTCCTTTTCAGGTTCGTGTGAATACTCACGGCTTACCCTCGGCTCCTTGAATGCGGATTCTTGAGCGTTTCAGATTCCGCTCCCAGCCCGAAACCGTCACTATTCGCAGAAGGGCTGAGGTTTATATAAGTTTTGTGTGAACCAGAGAGCGATTGTGTATAATCGGGTGATTAATCATATCGCTTATTCTTGCGGTTTGATGAAGGGCGTGTCTAAGTCGGCATATGAGTCTGCCAACAGTGCCAAGCCGTTGTCCACGTGTGTGCTCGAAGCGGAGCAAGTGCGCAAGGACAGATATCACAGTCGTTCGTATCACTCGTTTTGTTACTAGTCGTTGCTCTTGCCACACCTTCACAAAAACTGGCCAGTCACGAGCGGCCTGGTGCATGGCCCACACTCATATTGCGCTGACACGCCCCTTCTCTCCGCTGCGCGAACATGGCAGTATATATGGGCGTAATTCGTATATCGACCTATGAAGTTTACCTTCACACGTGATCTTCCCATATCTCCATCGGGTCAACGAGATGCCGCTTATGATATAGATTGTTGCTAGCAATACTTGCATTGTGCGTTGTGGAATTGTTTTATTCACCGATATTAGAGCATAAGTATAGGTTAAATTTACTGGTAGTTCCAAAGAACATTTTTTTGCATTTTATTTATATGGAACATTGCCAAAGCACCTTAAGGCCTTAATTGAATGCGAAGGAGTTCTATAGGCAACACATCTGTTAGTTTCGTCAAGCCGTGGGCGTTTCTTCAACGTTTTATTTTTTTATTTGCTGTTTATAGTCGCTGAGAATCCTCAAAGTGAGTGCATCGTGTACTTCCAGGCATATGCCGATTCCCTGATGTGCAGACCCCTTTTCCCGCTTTTCTGGACAAGGTGGTCCTTTCGTACACAGAGATATACCATTCTTGAGGCTTGAAAATACGGGTCTTAGGATATCTGTCGATAGCAGAGCCTTCCTCCTCTTTCCTTCTCCTTTTTTTCTTCGTTCCCCCTCTCTTCCTGTTCCGCATTTCCTCCCTTCAAATGTTCAGCAAGCAGGCGCTACGGGGAAATTCTGGAGCCTCGCTGCCAGAGAAAATACGGCTGACAGAAGCCCTGTAAGCAGAAATCCGTTATGAGGGTGACACCCGCTCGTGACGAAGGTAATGTCCCGTCCACTGCTCCATACCACAGCCAACTTCCATTCCTTTTTCTCATGAGGGGAATTGAAATTTCTGTTAAATATTGTGAGCACACCGAACAACTCGGGCGGATGTCCCGATTTGAAATTGTCTGGCTGAAGCTAGGACTCGGTTCCGTGATAAGCATGATACCCGCTCGTGACGAGGGTAATGTCCCGCCCACTGCCCCATACCACAACCAACTTTCATTACTATTTTCGCTTGAGGAAAGTTGACATTTCTGTGAAATATTGTGAACACACCGAACAACTTGGGCGGATGTCCCGATTTGAAATTGCCTGGCTGAAGTCTGTTGCGAAACCAAGAGACGCAGACGGATAGAGGACAGCACCTGCCAAAGCATCGAGACGTGCAAGAAACTATGGCGAGCCAGGAAACGAGCTTTTTCAAGGGGAGGGGACTCCTTGATGGGTGAGTCACTATCATGTGGGGAAAATGACCATGAAG